TTACCGCAGGGCTGGTACATTCTTATCACAAACGCTTGTGTACCTGCAAGGGGCGGGAGGAGGGACCTGGGGGGTGGGGAGTGGTCTTTTCTCCGAACCTATCATGCTGCCTTTCGAGTTCTCTTTTCTTCCCATCGGTTGACCCAGACTCTGATCCAATCAAACATACGCTGCACGACCAGACCGTTTATTTAGTCTAATAGAGCATTTTATTCTGACACAAAGAACCTTAATTGCTCAAGCTCATTCTCATTACTCTAACACCCTTTGATCAGAAAGTCGAGACATTTTTCGATATTCTAAGTACATATTTTTATCCTAACTTTCAGACGCATGCTACAGTGCCCCTGTACGCTATCGGTAGAAACCCGATTATCTACAAAGACCCTATGGAGATCAAACCAGAACGCTGGATGAGAACCTCACGTGACAGAGAAGTTACCAATACGTTTGCTTTTGTTCCTTTTGGCTGGGGACAAAGAAGCTGTATAGGTAAGTACTGCAAGTTTCTTTTCCTTTTCCATTTTTCCTAATGTTTTTCGGGGCCACTGTGTAAAGTGTTTGAGGAACTGCTCTTGTGTAAACCCAGGGTTTCAGGGTATATTCCCTCCCGTTTTCCATGTTTAGAGGTTTTTTGTTTGCTTCAACAGCTATGGTGTTCGCCTGCCAAAACGGAGATCAGGGGTTCGATTCCCGATAGTGTCGTTTTTTAAATGTTTTCTACACCCACTAATTTAAGGGTAGGTAGGATTAGCACCTAGTCTCCTTGAATAAGGAAGAAAAATATCGGGAGCCATGTGTGAAAGTTCCACACCTTTAGATTGTTTGGCGGTTCTAAAATGTTGAAAAGAATGAGTCATGTTATGACCGCCGTGCGGGCAAATTCCTGGTAAGTATATTAAGAGTACTTTTGAAAACGAAAAATAAGAAGAGGAGGAGGAGAAGAAGGGAAAAGAGGAGGGGGGAGGGAAAGTAAGAAGAAGAAGAAGAAGAAGAAGAAGAAGAAGAAGAAGAAGAAGAAGAAGAACAAGAAGAAGAAGAACAAGAACAAGAACAAGAACAAGAAGAACAAGAACAAGAACAAGTACAAGAACAAGAAGAAAAAGAGAAAAAGAAGAAGAAATCATGATACCAACTGGGTGAGCTAACTGAGCAAGGACTGGTTAGGTCTGTCCACTACACCTGCACTTCGAGTGTGGGGTTAAGAACTATCGTAACTTGACACAGTTTCAAAATATCCATCAACAAATCCAGCGAGTTTTTTAAATCAGTAATAGGAAAAAAATCACTCCCCCAATTCATCTGTGCGTATTGAAAAGCAGTTTTTTTCTTCTCCTGAAAAGTAGGGTTTTTAAGATACGAAAGCTTTGAATCCCAGGCCCGACTTTGTCTACACCAAAAGAAAGTTTCCCAGTTGTGTAGCTTCAGTTTTGGGGGTATCTTGTTTGACTTTCTTATTTAAAGTAAAATTAGCCCACCACACCACTCCCACCTCTCCCTTGATCCCGTCCTTTCCAGTTGGATAAAGGGGTAATTGATAAATCTGCGACATACAATTTAGTAGGTTCAATCCTTTTAATTCCGGAACGGTAGAGGGGTAATACCTATTCCGAAAAAAACTAAAGTATATTAAATAAATTCTTTTTTACCAGTCACTCTTACATGAATTGTTTTTAAGAGCCCTAAAAAATTGATCCTCTCAAACATTCTAGGCTGTGTTCATTGAAATCTTGATCCATTCCAGTTTGCATACAAACAAGAGAGGAACGTAGAAGATGCTGTACTCGTTTATTTTTGTTTTGTTTTGTTGAGGTTTGTTTTGGGGTTGTTGTTTGTTTTGTTTTTTTGTTGTTGTTTTTTTTTGGGGGGGGGGGGGGCTCTATACTGAAACACCTTAAAACGTTTACAAGGGTACTTAGTATTGATTTTTCCTCAGCATTTAATACTATTCAACCGCATATTGTCATTGAAAAACTTCTAGTCGGAGAGTTAATTATTACATCGCAGAATGGGTCCAGGAATGTTTGACTGGCAGACAACAACATGTTAAGCTGAATAGCACAAAATCTGCCACAATCCTCAGGAGTGTGTTTTGTCACCAGTTTTGTAAACAATAATATACTAACGATCATGGAAGTAAGTATAAAACAACACACTTAATTAAGTTCGCAGATGCCTCCGCTATTATCGGATTAATAACACTCGATGAAAAAGAGCATCTCGAAGAAATACGTATGTTTTTTAAATGGTGCAATTCAAATTTTCAAAAAGTGAATCTCTCAAAAACAAAGGAAATGACTTTTTATTTTAGAAGAGAAAAGCCAACAATCTCACCACTCGTAATTGGACAAGAAACAATTGAAATCACGGATTCATACAAATATCTTGGTCTTACAATCGACGAAATATTTACATGGCAAAAACACGTAAACAATATCGGTAAAAAGGTAAACAAGAGGTTGTACTTTCTGGGGAGACTTAGGTCTAACAATCTGAATCCATCCATCCTTCAGATATTCTACACTCCACAATAGAAACTTTGATAAATTGTGGTGTTTCTCGCTATGATAGCAACTTGGGAAGACAGCACATTATAAAAAAACACGTTATAAAAAAGGCATCAACAACGATTGGTAGAGACCTGAATAACTTTGAATATCTGCACAAGACAAACGTTCTAAAAAAAAAAGGTGGAAATAATGCTTAGTTTCCATAGCGATCCTCTGGCATCGGAATTTCAATCATCGACCAGCAGTAGAAGATATATTTCCAAAAAAGCAAGAACAGGCAGATATAGAAAGTCATTAGTACCAACTGCAGTGAGGTTTTTGAACACAAATGTGCTACAAATGAGAAAATGAACAGAGAGAAGGGGGTGGAGAGAGAGAGAGAGAGAGAGAGAGAGAGAGAGAGAGAGAGAGAGAGAGAGAGAGAGAGAGAGAGAGAGAGAGAGAGAGTTTTACAGAGTGTGTTGTTTCAGCTGGGTTTTTTGTAAATATTTTCCTCCACTCTGAATTTTTGTGCTTCAAATTTTTACACAACTTTTTGGAGTCGAAGGAATTTGTCTGGTATTCATTTTAGATAAATCCACAGAGTAGTTTTTCTCTACATAGCACGTAAAAAAAAAAAACCCATTTTCAGCGACGTCCCCATTTTTGTAGCATGACGCACTAGTTCGCATTAGTCCTACCACTAAAAGTCCCAACGATTGCGCCTTATTGCTAGCTGTAGTAGTCTAACAGGCCAACAAAAGTTTGTAGATAGTTCTTCTCAAGTTTTTTGCCTTTTGAGATCATTGTTAAGATTAATAAAGAGAAGAGAGCTTTTTGTATTGAACATTTCCTCACCACCAATTCATTTCGTAAGTTTCGCTCAATGTGCGGAAATAATGTTAAAATGTCCCAAATGCCTTCTTTGAGGTCAAGGATGAAAATGGTCCTTCTGTTAGAACCTGTAGAGAATCAGAACGAAAAATTCCCAGACAAAATTACCACTTCAGGACAAATACACACCGTTCGCATCCCTTTAAACGTCACCAGGGTGCAGTATTCAGTAGATGAGCCCCATGAGACGTCTTTCCGTAGACAATGTCTGCAACTGGGACTTTACTACACACCTCAATGGTCTGCATTTTCAAGGCATCTTTATCTACAACTGTACCATTTTCCTGTTCGCGAAGCTGACATGAATCAGAGGATAGAAATGTGTTCATGATTCCTCCATCGTATTGAAAAGCGTGAACATTTCGTCTATGCTGTCTATTTCGGCAACTCACCCTACCTACCTGTGGTCTCTAGAAACAACTACATACTGTAAGGTATACAGGTATAAAAAAAATAGGGAGCATTAGAAAATATCTATCTGTTGGTGTCACCAAAACTTTAATAACATCACTTATATTGTCAAGGATTGATTATTGCAATTCCTTACTGGCTGGTGTACCTGATGAACAGTTACAACAACTACAAAGAGTACAAAATATTGCTGCCAAAATAATTACAATAAAACTAAAGCATGATCATGTGACTCCTATTTTAAAAGCATTACACTGGTTCCCAGTGAAAGAGCGTATCATATATATAATCTGTTTAACTTGCTACAAGTGCTTAAATGATTTATCACCGGACTATCTAAAACAGTTTTTAACACTCTATGTGCCTCCTAGAACGCTCAGATCATCAAGTGACAAAACAACCCTTGTTAAGCCTAAAATAAATTACAAATCATATGGCCAACGCTCTTTTTCATATTTTGCCCCACTTGTTTGGAATAGGCTTCCAAAAACTATCAGAGAAGCAGAAAATCTAGAAATTTTTAAGAAGAAACTAAAAGGATTTCTAATTCATCACATTTCGATTAGACAGAATCCACCCAAGCTGTAGATCACTGTGAGTTTCTTTGTGCGTATGTGCATATGTACGTATGTGTGTATGTATGTGTGTGTGGTGTGTGCGTGAGTGAATAGGTGTTTGCACGAGTATGTAACACTATGTACCTTTAAAATTGATTTGTAAATCCATAATATGTATCATGTTAAGCGCATAGAGCATTGCATAAGTGGATATGCGCTATATAAATGCAATTCATTATTTATTATTATTTACAGTGTGAGTGGCTTTTAGTACGCATGGTTGGGTGGGTCCTTGTGTTTGGCCACCACTGAACATTACAAACGACGCGTTAAAATGTGTCGAGTCCAAAGACGGACATATAGAGCACTGGTTCTCGGAATTCCAGAATTTTACAGATATTTTTTAAACTCTGTAATAAAAAAGAAATATTGTTTAAATGTTACAGGGATGGAAAGATTAGATTTTGATAAGAAAAGAAAGGGAAAAATCAAACCAATCATTTCATGACTCTCATTACAAGATCTTTTAAATTGGTGGATTTGGCGTCTATATTTAGTTTTTACAAAAGCCATTTTCGTTTTCGAAAATAATTTTTAAAAATGGATTTCAAGCCAAACAAATTCCTTATGGATGAATTATATCTGTTCCAAATTACAACATTCTTGTACAAATTTTGTGCGAGACATTGAGAAAAAAAGTTGTTTAGTTGTTTGGGTTTTTTAAAATTATTTTAATCACCCTGTATTTACTAATGTCCTGTCTTGTTATGTGTATGCGTGTGTGCACCTAACCTTTGTAACATTCCACGGCCATTGTTAACGACCTAGAAAAATGTATCCCTGTGACATTAATAAAGTTTATCATAGTCATTGTCATTGTTACTGTCAATTCACTGGCAATGTGCTGGTCAATTGGTCAAACATAGGCTGTGCTGGTAGACAAAACAGTGTTAGATCTACTGATTGGTTGTTGATCAGTCCGATTTCTTCTTTTTTTTCTAGGCAGGAGGATAGCAACGGCAAACATACAGCTATTGTTGATTGAGGTGAGTTTATAATATTTGTCAACTGTGATGACGAGGGATATCCCCGGCCCTCTTTCTCTTTTTTTTTTGGGGGGGGGATGGGGGGGGGGTAAGTGTTTTAGGGCGCTCGGAACTGCTTAAGGTCATATGAGCGCGTGGGACACACTGAACATTTTTAGTTGGAAGGAAATTTTGAATTTTGCCCGGATGACGGCGAACTCTACAGTAATCGATTTTGGAACACAAAGGGATCTTTGACGTGCACTACTCGCACGCGGGATCTCCGAGATTTTTTGCCCTAATCCGAGAAGAATAGGTGTTAGATCTTGCATACCATAAGATCAGGAGTAAGGCTGAAAGACAGCAGCAAGAAGGAGCCAACCAGTAGCAATAAAAAGGCTGCAGAAAGAGTCAGGAGCCCAGACGAGGAAAGAAACGGAGGTGAGGGGGTGGGGGCAGAAAGGGGAGACGAAAGCAGATGACATAATATTTTTAGAGAACAGGAAAGGAGGTGAAAGGAGAGCATTTTGGAGAAAAAAATTTCGATTGCTTTCCGAATTTGAACCCGGGCCCTATTGAATGAGAGGCGAAGACCCTAACTTCTCAACCACGAGAGCCCCCTGTGTGTGTGTGTGTGTGTGTGTGTGTGTGTGTGTGTTTGTGTGTGTGTGTGTGTGTGTGTGTGTGTGTGTGTGTTTGTGTGTGTATGTGTGTGTTTACATGTCTACGTACACCCGCATGCATTCATAAAATATTAGCTTATGAGAATATGGAATATACATCGTTATGTAAAATCAATATAAGACAAAATAAACAGCACTTTTAATTTTAATTATGAATTTTCTACGTGTAAGGAAGGGAAGGGTGCATCTAATATTTTTCACCCTTCCTGGAATCACCACCAACACCACCAACACCACCAGCATTATCACCACCACCATCACTTCCACCACCATCACTACAATAACCACCAACATCAACAGCAACAGTAGCAGCAGCATCAACAACTAAAACTGCAGCAACATTAGTGTGAACGCTACCACCACCAACAACTGCACCAACGATACAGTTTTATATCTTTAGCCCACTCATTTATGAGGCAGTTTTCGACCCTGCCAGCCAGGCCCCATCCGCGCTGAGAGGAATACAATATCCCAGCAGACAGACGGAATTACTCGACAAAAGCTCTGCCCACACGAGAATAGAACTTGGATCTTCTGTGTGAGACGGCAAAGCGTCTACCGCTACACTAGTGATGCCAGTATGGACAGTAAAACTGAATAACATCACACCGGATCGTTTTAACTACAAGAACAAAAGTTTCTTAAACAACGCCTGCCGACTCAGATGCTTTAAGACAGTAGTAAGAAATGCTGATCTAACCATGGTTGGGGCCCTATATGAAGATGAATTGTGTCGATAGCACCGTAAATCACATGATTAAACTCAAATTCAAAGTTAAACTCCAACTCCAACTTAAATTTAAACTCAACATTCAAACCTAAACTCAGTTTCAAACTCTAACTCAAACTCTAACTCTAACTTAAACTCAAACTTAAACTCAACTTGGCTCCAACCGGAAGGTCATGTGTTAAATTCCTGTCAGAGGCCCGACGTTACGTCTTTCGGAAAGGCACTTTACTCGAATTTTCCTCACTTCACGCAGGTGGAAATGGGTACACGGCTATAGACAGTGAAATATACTATCAGTTTGTTAGTGTTTGAGAACATGAAATCCGCAGCTTACATCGTATTACGCTTCCCGCGAAGCCTGGAACATTTTTAGTGTCTAGAGTCTTCTCGGGTAATAATACTCATAAAGCCATAGAGCATGTTGTAGAGCGTCGATATTAACTACATAAAAGCAATTATCATATTATTATTATTATTATTATTATTATTATTATTATTTATTATCATTACCTCCTCAGCTCCTTCGGCGATTCCGACTGACCAGTGTGACTAAAGAGCTGACGCTTGAGACTCGACTCACTCTTACCCCAAATCCTCCTATGCAACTGACACTAACGCCAAGGGAATAATCTCTATTTCTACACATGTTACTCTCTTGCCAACATCAACCTATGTGTTATATATAAATGAAAGAAGTCTTAAGTCTCTCAAGGGGAGTCCTTTCCAATTTGAACTATATCACCCAATTGTGGGCGATTTAGTAATGTTGGTGGGCGGTGGGGAACACCTGGATAGTGACAGGTGTTATTTTAATGCTTACTTGGTGGTACGACTTGAAGAAGGCCTGAATAAAAAAAGTTAGCCTTCTAAAAGCCGATTCACATGTTGCGGAGTGCGAAAATTGCACGGTGGCGGTTTGAGAAAATTGCACAGACTTAAATGTTTACGTGATTGCGGTGTTTGATAGAGAAAGTGTAGCAGTGTCCTTGTTTTATGGTAAGGTAGCATCATACAAGGATGGATTTTGCCGAACTAGTTCAATAAGTTTTTCCATAAATTGCAGCTGAAAGCTTCACTTTGTTCACTAGTAGTGATTTATGAACCTCACACAGCTAGACTCTTGATCTGCAATCAATCTCCGCTTGCAGTGCAGCAGGAAAACACACTAACAACACTAGTGTGTCGACACGTGGAGCCTACATCTATGTGTGTGTGTGTGTGTGTGTGTGTGTGTGTGTGTGTGTGTGTGTGTG